CCTGCCTGCGTATGTTTAACTCGTTCCTCGTGATTGTTTTAGAATCTGCCTTGTCTACAAAAAAATGACCTTGACAGAAGGGGTGGGTTGGCGTGCTGAGGGCTTAACGCCTAAGGTACAGGGCCTCACAGCCTGATCCCGAGTAAGCCTGCGGCCTGGGGCATGTAGAGCTTGACTCGATAAGCTGCGAGTAGACATGGTGGGCTTCCTGCGTCTTACATCGAGGGTAGGCCATTGATTCAGAAACCTCCTCCTTCCACGGCTTGTATGTGAAGAGTAAGATAGCTGTGAAAGGAGGAAAGCATCTTACTTAGGGGTCTAAACTACTTGGATGTTGCACGGCACCTGATGCTCTTGTGCAACATTCCCATGACAACGAAATGCAGGGCCAAGCATAAGACCTTGGCGTGGTGCATTTTAGCACACGTTTCAGGGACTATGAGAATATGCTGTGGCTACACTGGGGCTTTGGGTTCCAAGGTTTTGGGTCACGGTTTTGGGTTTGGGTAGTTGGTTGAAGGCGTACGACCAAGATCATGGTGACAGCAGGTTGCGACAGAATCTGCGGGTAAGACGCTTGGCGGAGACCGTCATCGCTAGCGCTACTCCCATGGTCAGGGCGTTAAAGTTACGGCTGAATGTTTAGGGTCGGGATCCTTCCTCTATTGTTCGCGTGCCACCACCTGACCATGTCGTCCGCATTATTCTTAGTGCACAATCATGTTCGAAGCCCATGGTGAAGGCAGCATCGTCTTTTGCCGGCAGAACTGCTCAAAATGTGTTTTCTAGCACAGGCATACGCCAGAAGCTCTTTGTTGTGATTCAAGCCCAACAACCGAAGCCGGAAGCCCGACACCACAAAAATCTCCTAAACCCTAAGCCCGAAGCTCCAGGCAGTACACCCTGAGCCTCAGAGCCCACCAGAAACGGCCGAAATCCTTGCCTGGCAAGTCCCAAACGTGAAGCCGCCACAAGCCCCCCCCCCCACCCCGACTTCACTGAAGCCCCCACGACCCCAAACCACCAAGGGATCCTAGGGTTTCGAGCCCAGAAAACCCACCCTGAACCCGACGGATCCAGAGCCATGGTGAGCCTCTGCTGGTGCTGAGCAGCGGTGGGGTGCGCCGAGGAAGGCGAGGGAAGGGAGGCCAAGAGAGGGGGGCCTTGGAGCTTCGGGATGTTTAGGGTTTAGGGTTTAGGGTTTAGGGTTTAGGTAGGAGGTTCAAGAGTTTAGAGGGCCTAGGTGCCCCTCTGAAAGAGATGGCTGCTGCGCAGGCATACCAATGAAACCCTAAACTCTCAAACCCTCACACCCTTTAAGCCTTGAGCCACCCAAGCTTAAAGCCCCACTGGAGGACCAGTCCCATGCTTGCTCGGGAGGTCGCGCAGAGGCCGGCCCCCGAACTTGGCGGAGCTTCCGAGTATTCCTTAAAGTCTTACAACAAGTGAAATGCACGGCCAACCATAGGATCTTCGAATGGATGGTAGGGCTAATTGGCATGAGATGTGAGCATAGATGGTAGGGGTCCTTTTCAGGTTATCCTCTAAACGAGCACCTCTTGGAGTTGTGGCAAAATAGGCCATTGGCGCGGCAGTTGAGTTCACAGCGTTTCAGGTTTGGGGGGAGGAGTTTGGGGAATTTAGGTGCACAATGCGTCGTGTCACGGCCAACTAGGGCTTAGAGTTGAGGGGGCCCTTAACTCGGGTTTAGCGTTTAGGCTACCTCGGCTAGGGCCGTTGAGCGTCTGGGGGCCTAAACAGAGGGTTTCGGGTCCTCTAAAGTCTCCAGCCTCACCCTTCAAGCTGCCCTACACCTTAAAGGTCTTCACTTCGGAGCCTCGAACCAAGGCCTCGACTCCCCTGGGCCCTAGATTCCCAGTTGAACCTGCTAGATCCCAAGCACTTGACCTTAAGCCTTAAGCCCGAAACCCATCGAAACCCTGCAAAGCCCATACCCGAAAACCTAAATCCGGAAACATTACAAGAGCCCCTTTACCACGGTATATGTCGAGGCAACTCCGCAGCGAGCTTCCAAAGGAGGAGGCCGACGAGCCGCAGCCGTGGCCCCAGAGGAACATGAGATGCTGCCGCCTAGAGTTTGGGAAGTGGTTGGGGTTTAGGGCTTAGGGTTTTGGTTTTGGCCTATAATCCCTACAGCACTGAGCACCTTGCAAACTCAAACGGGGCCCTAGTGATGTAGGAGCATGAATCATTCGAATAGGGTATACGAAGTTTAGGAGTCATTCTCGCCAAAAAAACCTCTATGGGGCTGTCAGGGGGTGTTCAGTGTTTATTGTTCAGATGTCAGTAGTAAACCCGAACGACAAGCCCAAAAGTCCCTCAAGCCCGAAAAGATCTGACAGAAGCCCTAGAACTCCGCCGCGTGGAGCTACGGAATGATGTTTGTGCTTTTCAGAAAGCACGAAGTTTTGAATGGAAGTGTGAGTGATTCATGAGTGTTGGGTTTGCTCCTCTATGCTGACTTGGTCCAGGGCATAGGTTCTTTGCCCCAATCCTGGGCCGAAAGGGTTCGGATCTGGCGCATGCTCCACTGAAGCTCGGTTCCCGGAGTTCGAAGAAATCTTGTAGACATAACATGTTGCTTCTGTTACTAAAGTTATGGGTGGGTTAAGATGAAGCCCTTCTCCAGGGCCGTCTTGTGTATATAGATTTATTTAAAAGGGTCTGGACGACTTGTTTTGACTGTCTGGTGCTTAGTAGGGAGTGGGGGAATGGGTTATAGGGACTACTATAAGGGACCTTAAAGGGACCATCATAGGGATCCATTCCCCCATTCCCCACTAAGCACCAGACAGTTTGGGTCTTCCACAGCCAAGGCCGCCAAGGAAGGCTCGGCGTCTTACAGCTCAAGTCGCGCGCCCGGGGACCTCTTCGGCGCTGCGGGTTCGGGTGGCGTGGGCTGCACTGACATATGGGAGCTTCCGAAAATATGGGGGGGTACCTTATATTTGGGGTCCTTATAATAAGGATCCTACTATTTGGGGTAATTACTATATTAGGGTCCCCTATCTTCGGAAACCCTCACATATAAAGTCTGGTGCACAGTAAGAAGAGTTTGTATTTTTTTAGGGCACTGAGGGCCTTGGAACAAACGGGATTTTGTAAAAGTGGGGAGTCCGGCCAGACGGTTCTACAGTGAGGGTTCGGGATGTTAGATTTTGATGTAAGGGAAACTGAGGGCTGTGGCAACCAGTATCGTTTTGGGCTACGCTCCCCAAGGGAACACTACTGTCGGTGCTCCATAGGATGTGTAGTATTTCGAGGATGGAATCCGCTGTAGCTTGCTTTTGCCATGTCCGCAACCTACACCCTAAACCCTAAACC